AGAGCCTGGGTCAGATGACCCACTAGGCTCAGATGTTTCCCCAACCCCACCAGAGCTGCAGGTCAACAACCTGGCCAGGAACCCTCCTGCTGCCTCGCAGTGTAACAGATTCTCTCGCCTCCCCCCACCCCCAGCCTGCTTTTGATCCAGCTCCTGTTCCTGCCCGTCTTGTTCCTGCCAGCCTTGTTCTTGCCCCTATCTGACCTTGTTTCAGCCCTGTTACTGACCCACTCCAGCCTTCCCTTCTCCTCCTAACCCCCCCAAACCCTGGACTCTGACCATTCAGCAACGACCACTGGCCTGTATCTGGATTCTGACTATGATACTGATTTTGTCTCCTCTATGAACTATTATATCAATTCTGACCCCGGCCAGTCCCCAGATCTCGGTTCCAGCTCTACCCCCAGCCCGGTCCCGATCCTATGTCTGGCTTCATCCTCTGCTCCAGCCACTAGGCCTGACTACCGGGAGGCAGCTCCTGACAGTTTGTACAGACTCCACTGAACTGGGCCCCTGGGCCTTGATGGAGCAGCTGGGTGCTGCTACCCCAGAGACAGCATCCCTATTCCAGAGCCTTTCAGAACCAAATCACCCAGCTGCAGTTGGAGAACACCCCCCTTTGAGCACAAGTCCAGACCCCTCCAGGACCCTTGGGCCCACCCACGGCCGTGGCCCTGGAGTATGGTCCAAAAATCCCCTTGTCTGAGCAGTTTGATGGCTACTGACACAAGTTCCAGTGCTGCTTGCTGTTCCTGATGTGGCCAAATGTTGATGAAGCCCCAAATGCTGACCAGCGTCAATGGCAGCATACTGGACTAGATGGACCACTGGGTATAATCCAGGGTTATGATTCCTACATTCCTATACCTTTTAATGAAGGTATTTGAAGATCCTGTGTGTTCTGCTCTCATGTAAAGAACAGCAGCTGAATGAGCGAACACAAAATATACTTCCAGTGCTTTTAAAAGAAAAATGTCTTTGTCTGAAGAGCCAATATTTCCATTTTATTCCTCAGGTAAACCAGGGGACATTTCACACCTGAAAGAATTATGCAAGCGCTTATCCATTGTCCAGCTGGAAATAGAAAAAATGAAAACATTCTGGAGTGATGTGAAGAATGTGATTGAAGGGCTACAAGCAGAGCCAGCGCTTCCATTTAGGCGACCTAAGCGGTTGCCTGGGGCACCAGGATTTGCAGGGGGGGGGGGGGGCATTTTGCTGCCATTGGCAGCAATTCGGCAGCGGGGGGTCCTTCCGTGCTCCGGGTCTTCGGTGGCAATTCTGTGGCGGGTCCTTCACTCGCTCCAGGACCCGCCGCCTAAGTGCCACGAAGACCGGGAGCGTGGAAGGACCCCACCGCTGCAGAATTGCCAATGATGACTGGGAGCACGGAAGGACCCCTGCCTAGGGCACCAAAAACCCTGGCGCCGCTCCTGACTACAAGGAAAGCATGAGGCCACAGGGATATTATCAGACCTACAAATGTACAAGGAACAACTTCAGGAAGGAGTGAATTTGGCTGAAAAGCTAATGTTCAGTATTCTGGACCCACAGGTCACAGCCTACGTAAGACACAAGCACGCCTCCATGATAAGCTTTATTTCTGTCACCCTTCTAGCTTTGCCAGCATGCCCACCTCATTCTTGTGGCCTGCAACTAATCGTGCTCTGTTTCAGACCACAAAATAATTTTGGGGAAGCGTGAACTGATGAGGGGGGATGCCATTTTAGATTTGGTTTTGGTGAGTAGTGAGGACCTCGTTGAGGAAATGGTTGTAGGGGACAACGTTGGCTCGAGTGATCATGAGCTAATTCGGTTTAAACTAAATGGAAAGATTAACAGAATTAAATCGGAGACTAAGGTTTATGATTTCAAAAGGGCTAACTTTAATAAATTAAGGGGACTAGTTAGGGAAGTGGATTGGACTAACATATTTAGGGATCTAAAGGCGGAAGGCGCCTAGGATTATTTCAAGTTGAATTTGCAGGAGCTGTCGGAGGCCTGTATCCCGAGAAAGGGAAAACGGTTCATAGGCAAGAGATTTAGAACGAGCTGGATGAGCGAGCGTCTCAGAGGGGTGATTAAGAAAAAACAGAAAGCGTACAGGGAGTGGGAGTGGAAGATGGGAGGGATCAGCAAAGAAACCTACCTTATTGAGGTCAGAGCATGTAGAGATGGAGTGAGAAAAGCCAAAAGCCGTGTAGAGTTGGACCTTGTGAGGGGAATTAAAACCAATAGTAAGAGCTTTTATAGCCATA